GGGGGCGAGGTCACGTTCTCTGCTCGTCGATGTCACATTCGCCCTCCGAACGCTATGACCTCGGACTCGGCGAATCGCGGCTCTGCGCGGAAATTTCCACCGGCCGGCCCTGCAAAAGCTTTCTGTTGGCTTCATTAATGAGAATAGCCGCCTCGGTGACCAATAGGAAGGTCTCCTCAGGGAATCATCCCGGCAGATGCGCTTTAAAGGGCTAAATAACTTTTATTAAAGCGCTGCAACATGTCACCAACCAGTAACAAACTGAGGAGCCCAGTGTTGTTCATGACTGTGCGGGCAGAGTTCAGGCAGAGTTCAGGAGAGAGAGCTGAGACCCCATACAGAAGCTTTTCAAGGTGGGGGGGGAGGGGGACACACCGAGAGACGAGTGACCACGCCAGAGCAGAAAACTTTGGACCAGCATCTGGTGGACATTTAACCGCGAAGAAAGAGTTTTGAACGGGGTTCCCCTTTAAGTTCTTATTGACTTAGCAGCTTCGCCCGGAGCCTAGCGCATAAACGCAGCAAACCAAGCGGAAAAACTGGCACAAGGGGCGCCTCCTGGGGTGAGAGTTAACCCTTTCCGACTCCTCTAGCTGCATTGTTTGCCGTCCTACAGGAAGCCGCCAGCTCACACCTCGTCTGTATACAAATTGTATATACCAGAGATGGTGACACTCCTCAGACACAGGGCCTACCCGGGAACTCAGCACAGGGATGGTGGGGGCCCCTCATAATGGGCACAGCGGGTGTACAGACCCGGGAACTCAGCATAGGGATGGTGGGGAGCTCCTCATAATGGGCACAGCGGGTGTACAGACCCGGGAACTCAGCACAGGGATGGAGGACTGTCGGGGGATTTCATTCTACACCATCTAGAATATTTGGGGTATCTGTTTGGGGCGGGGTACCCCATGAAGTTCTTCTTCCTCATCGGCATAGAGCGGGGAATGATTTGTAGTTCTCCCTCGGGTAGAAAGCTGCTGATCACTGAAGTATGACACTTCCCTTTACCCCCAGTTGGCAATGCATGCTGGGAAGTGTAGTGCTTTTCCTGTTGCACATGCTGGGATATGTAGTTCTGCAGCCATTGGGGGAAGTGGGGGGTCACACGCAGGCTCGGTGTCCCTGTTATGCCCAATGAGAGGGACCAGGAGGACAATGGAAGGGGATTGGTGTGAGAAAAACAGGAAGAAGAGAAAAGAATTAGCGAAAGGGGGGAACGCAGCGGTCGGGGGGGGGGG